GTGTGTGTGTGTGTGTGTGTGTGTGTGTGTGTGTATTATTCTGATACTGTATTTAAAAGTAGAGGAGGTATTTGTATTTCATAAATTGTATTATTGCATTTGGCCACAGCCCTCTGAGAGACTTTTATTTTGGTGAAATGATTTGGGCAGCCCGTATATAAACTGAAACAGCTGGACTAGTGCATCCAAAATTGAACATAAATTAATTATTTTAATACAACAGTCATTTCTGTACTTTTTGGGGAGGTCACCTCCTAATAAATGTCMTTACAGAAAATCTAACTGCTCATTTTAAATCAATACTTTGACTTTTAGTACTTAAGTACAACAAATATCAGATACTTTTAAGACTTTTATTCAAGTAATATTCCTAAAGGAGACTTTAACTTTTACCAAAGTATTTTTGGTAAAATACTTGTACTTTTACTCTAGTAATATTCCTAAAGGAGACTTTAACTTTTACCAGAGACATTTTTTGGTAAGATACTTGTACTTTTTCTCAAGTATCACTTTGTGGTACTTTATACAACACTGTGCAGTAGATATTATTACTAGAACCAGAGGCATTGTAGCTCAACTCTTTGGTCTGTAGAACTCTAACTCTGGGGTTTGCACCTCAGCATCTGTCATCTGATTTATGTGAAAAAAACAATTAAACCAATCACTATTGGAATGTTTACTTTTTATGTTTTTAAAGTGTTATTTTTGGTATACCTTTACAATATACTTGAATTATTAACGAGATAATGACATCACAGATTTGTATCAAGTTTCTCACGACGTTTTGTGTTTTAGTGTTTGGAAAGAAATGTGGCTCTGACTCTCGCTCGGTATCTCGAAAAAGAAGAGCGATTCCTCCCACCACCAAGGTAAGAAGCTGTACCGGGCATGTGATACTTTTTACTGTGACTCCTCTATGCATGTCTAAACTGAACGCATAATCGTTGTCCTCGACTTCATCGCAGTCATTCAGCCGTCACAGATTCTTTCCTAACGGACACTTGATTGTTAAATTGTGAAGATAAAATCACACAAACGTACAACAAACTATGTCTGCTTACAAGATCAACAAATGCCCCGCGGTTGTGTCCACTGTAGAGGTTAGGGCGCTGCCACAAGGGGGTGCTGATGCTGAATATTTTTCTGGTAGTTTTTCCAGAGCAAGAAGGCCCTTTATAGATTATTTCAGAAATACAGTCAACAAAAATAATATTTTTCAAATCCAGAACAGTAATGTAAGCATTTGTTTTAATAAATGCTACTGAGCCGTGTCAGCAATATGTTGTTCTAACAACCCAGTCACTCTTTAAGGCCCAGATGTTCCAGCTTTTCACCAGCCACGATGGCAGCTTTACATTTGTAAATCTGGAGCATAAAGAAAGTCTCAAAGGTCACACACACACACACACAAGCTGATTTGTGTGCCACAGGCAATTTGTGCATTTGACAATTTGATTGCTTGTGCAGTTTGAAATGTGTACGTTTAAAAAAACTGAATGCATTTGCCAGTCTTGTGGTATGCATATGCTTTGTGAATACTTTTGTGGTTAACTTATTTTTATACTTAATCAAGCTTTCTCCAACTTATTGCTGAGGTCACCACATCTTCATGTCAAACCTGGAAAAGATTGTCAGTGCTTTTATTAGTCTTGTCTAGACTGTTCTAATCCTCTGGATGTTGGGCCAGAACAATCATTTCCACTTTGTCTGCAAACTGTTCAAAATGAAGCAACTTTACCTGAAACACACAACTCCAGTCTTGGCATGTCTCCACTGGTTGACTGTTTCCTGGTTGAGTTTAAGATTTTACTGCTTACTTTTAAAGTCCTAACGCTTTAGCTCATTTGACAGTATCAATTTATTGTTTGAATATAAAAATCACCAAAACCAGTCCATCTAAATAATTACAGAAATAAAAGAATACACAATATTTAAATTCCTGTCAGTGTCAAAAAGACATGGCATAGACTGAAAAAAGTGTAGGTAGAAACTTTTTATACCTTCACTTTTTATTCATACATTATCAAAATCAAATCGGCATCTTTCTTATAGATTTTATAAAAATAAAATTTCCAATGAAATTCTAACCAAATTTGTAACAAAACTCTAGCAGCAGCAAACAATCAGTCAAAACTTAGTATAGTTCTCTAACAAATAGTTTTTATACATTATTTTAAATTTAGTTAGTGAAAAACACAGTTTTAACAATTATTCCAAACACAAATCTCTCAAACAGAGCTACAATTATTTTTAATATTTGTCCCAACCTTTGTTTTGTTAAATAAATCTTTCTTTATTCATAGTTTGTTTCTTTAATTTCGAACCACTTCTGTAAACAATGTGGAAGGACATTAGTATAAGATTTGTACATTGTCAATGCTGTTCTAAGT